TATAATTTTTCGGCGCTCGCTCGATAACGATCGGCGACCGGTGAAACGAAATCTCTTTATCGGACCGAGTCGAGGTTTCGATTTTTGGAAGAAAAAATAAAATTCAAAAGAGATTTTGCGACTCGGCTCACCGGACACTCATTCCGTTCTCGTATTTTCAGGTCCGCGAAACGTTATCGTAGCTTACGCCGTTTATACACGTCGCGAAATCGCGAAAGGATTAAAATTAAGAGGCACAACGCTTGATTATTCGCTTGATGTGTAAACGTTATTACGCGGATTATAGCGTCTTTCCGACTCTGTAAGGGATTCTAGTCATTTAACTGTGTGTACACAGTGTGCATTATAGGTCGTCGCTGAATCGTCTAATTCCCCTCCGCCCCCCGCCCTCCCATCCCCCACGTCGTTGTGTTTGAACTTGTCGTAACCCAGGCAACCGACGTTCGGACCACCGATTCACCGTGTTTTCCGTTCGCAGGAATGATATCACGAGAAAACCGTCTGACGATAAGTTTCTTAACACTTTGACGGCCGCACTGTTAACGAAAAGGTTTACTTTTTTTCGTAAGCTTTGTTACAAATCGAAGGCATGCTGTTGACATGTTGTAAGTTCCGACATAATTATTATTTAAGAAGTAAAAAGGCGTATTTATTTTGCAGATTGTCCTAGTTCAGAAGAATAGTTACTATCGTACATGCAAATTATATTATTATCGATCGTGCCTAATTCTGATTCCTCCGTTTCAGATAGACATTACAGACTCTTCTCGATTATCGTCCCGAACTCGGGTCCGCGGCGGGACAATAATCATGTAGGGAGAAATGCTTCAGAACCTCGTAAATTCGTTTTTGTGCTCGAAGTCTGAGCGGAGGGGCAAGAAAGCATTGCGATTGACAGGTTCCACGCTCCTCCCCTTCCCAGTGGTGGGGATAACGCTTGGACAATAATCGTATAGGACAAGCCAGACGATAATCGAGATGATGTCTGTAACTAAATGAATTCACGTGTTGTACGTGAAATCGGCCGACAACCGTTGGCACAGGGAAGTCACATATGTACGTGAGTCCGGCCGTCAAAGTGTTAACTTGTACCCGTTCATCGATGATAAGGGAACGAAAGAATTAGTCCCGTTAATACGACAAATAAATAATAACGTGTACGAACTACAGAGATGTATCCATATCAATATATAGAATCACACAGCGTGTGTTACAGGTGTGCGAGAGTCACGTTATTAGGTGAAAAAAAAAAATAAGAAAGAATAAGAATCGTATGTTACACCCGACTCTGTTTACACGTCCGTTGTTCGCATCCTCGTGGTTTTTCTTTTCTTCGCGATCAGAGAATGGACATTTTAGCTGCTTCGATGGAGCCGCGTATATAGACACCAGTGCCTTACACTCGACTAGTTTTTACAGTAATAACATATTGACTTTCCAGATGTTTACCCACAGTTGAACGCGTATAAGAGACTATAAAGAGAACCGAGACAGTTTTTCCATTCATCATTTAATTCTTTCTCGCCGGAAAAGAAAAAGAAACGGTGTGTTGTGTGGCTTCGTGTAAACATTGTCCCTGTGTGTGTATGCGTCTGTGTGTGTGTGTGTGTAAGTGACTTTAAATGGCAATCTATACAGGGTGACCCAAAATAGGAGTGATTCCTGGGGTGATTTGAAACAATTTTTTCCTTAGCGAAAATGTTGTCCGAGGCTTTGTTAACGAGATATTAACGAAAAATCCCGACCAATCGGAACGCGAGTTTGCCAGCTGAGCTGCTGCGGTAACGTTGACTACCAATCGCAGCGCGTAGCTAACCTCACGCTTTGATTGGTCGGGGTTTGTTCGTTAATATCTCGTTAACAAAGCCTCGAAGAATTTTTTCACTAAGGAAAAAGTTGTTTCAAATCACCCCAGGAATCACCCCTTCCAAGGACTCACTTCTAATTTGGGACACCTTGTATACCTCTTCTTTCTTAGAATATACAGTTTTCCGATCGATACGGGTGGAAACTATCGAAGTCTGTTTCCAAATACACAAGTGGTCTTTGGATTAATTTCGTTTTTTTTTTTGTTGATCTCGTAGCAAAATCAATTTCCTGTCGACGTGGCTTTCTCGCTATCGATCTCCACTTGGTCGCGTTGAATCGGACTTTGTTATTCGCATATGCGCTTCGAACCTTACACGTTTTCTCTCGTGATGAATCATGGTTATCGATCGGGCACCCCTGTTGTGTCCAATAGCGACAAGCAAAAATCATTGAACGTGTAGACGACTCCGTTTGAACTGGTAAAAACGAGCATAGATATTACTGTAAAATTTTTTTTTTATTGGAAAGCTCACCGTACAGCTTCCCACAAGTTGGAAAAGCTCTCTTTCACGCGATCGTTACGATGGTTAATCGATTAGAAAAATCGAACGTCACGTATTTGACCATTTCTGTACCGATTTATCGCGATTCCGTTCGGTTTCGACAATTAATCGTCGATTTTCACACGGTATATAAATTCTACACGTGTACGTCGGTGTTCTATCAAAATTTCGATAAGTAAGTAAACGTTTAATTAATCCGATAACGGATCAACTACGATTAAGAAGTAACGAGAAGCTCGATTATATGGACTTTTTATCGATTTCACTTATTTCGAGTACGTACGGTTATTCGTAATGTAATATTTTCTCCTGGATTTCGTGTAAACGATGCTATGCAAATAAATCTGTGAAATTTCGTACACGCGCTGTTTTCACTATCGATGACAGATCACGCGTGCCGAGTTTTATCAGTTTGATACGAAACAGAGAAAAAAAAAACGAAACAACGTGTTTTTCGCTAGATAAAAAGTTTTATTTTAAATGTTAGTCCGTAGGATTGCGTGTATGTAGATGTAAACGTAGACGTTTGCTCGTTAAAAGAATATCGCACGAAAAACTTGGACGAGGAGAAGAGAGTGGAGTGGGGGGGGTGTCAGTGGGTACTTTCCAAGCAATCCAAAGTGGTCAGGTTCGTCCTGTTGATCGAATGTCGAGTGGAATATGTGAACCTTTGATTGGATTTAATGCACCGCGGCATTTTTTTTTTTCTTTTTTTTTTTTCTCATAGCGATTAAGGCTTAGTTCGTAAGGGTATTGTAGAGAGCCAGCGTCGTCGGTCTGAATTTGTACCATGTCTCGCGTGGCGAATAGGGTAACGAGCGTTTAACGTGTAGCTCGCTAACGATAAGTCGGACTCGCTCGTCGCGTCCGTACTTTTATCGTGTCCAACGGGTCAGTGCATTTACAGGAACGATCAGTTTGCAATAAAGTATTTTTGTTCCCCTAACGAGCCTGTAGGATTCGCCGAATGGAGGCACACGACAACGCGTAGACACCGTACGCGTACGTATATTTCGGTAATATTTTCGTTCTGATGAACAACGTGTACGTCTAGTGAATGAGAAACTGCGACACGCGTGTCTAGACGCAACAAAAAAAAAAAAAAAGAACACAAAGTGACCGTAAATGTACCTTTGCGAGCAAACTCCGTTTCCGCTAGGGGAAAAAGTGACGCAAAATAAGAGCCTCCTACAACTTGGTAAATTTATTTCAAGTACTGAAACAAATGTTAATTTGGCATAAATTTCAGTAATTCCCAATACCAAGTGGTAGGAGCATGGTACGAGGCCCTTCTCCTACTCCACATTATCCTCTAGCGGAAGCAGAGTTTGCATGTCAGTGTACATCCTACCGTTGAATACCGTCTCGATAGTCGCAAACTTTTCGTTTCAACGTTTAACGAGAATCCTGTTTACGTGTACTTACCGTATTAATTGTGAGCTTGTAAGTGAATTAAAAAACGGTATAAGAAGATATGCTTGAAAATGTTATTACAGCAGATGTAAATAAATCAGATTTACAGCGTATACGCATTGCAAGTGTTGAGAGACGCCCTTTCACAAAACGTGAAGAATCATATGGAAATCGATAAAGCTGTGTATGTGTGTGTTCTATGCGTGTTTCGAATGGATGCTCGAACGTAATATTATTCGTTGGTGTTCTAAACGGTATTCTGCTTACGGGTCCGCGAATGCGTGAAAACGGGTAACGATTATTTTCAAGTTTTTTTTTTCTTGCTATTTTTATTTGTCGTTCTTGTCGAATGAAACGTCGAGATCCTTGAAAAACTTGGTGTACGATCCTTGGACCCCGGGGCTACTAGAGGGCTTCTTCGAGTTCTCGGTTATTTCGTGCCGATCGCTGGGACGCATCCACACGGTTTTCCGGGGTTTGTAGCTCTCCTTGATCGTTCTTCGTTCTCTGTGTTTTAGTCAAGTAGCCACACCTATCATCGCTTGCTAAATATTTTAAATATCTCTCCGTTAATTCGTGTACCAATGTTCCATTAATAGATGAATGATAGTGACGCACTAACCGGTTGTTGATTTTCTGTCTTTTACGTTTACGAAAGCAAAGTTAGAATAATTCCCCGAAAAGAACCAAAAAAAAAAAAAAAAAACGGGCACTCTCGTATTGAAATAATTTACCTCGCGATACAATATTATCGTTATCAAATAGTCTTTAGTTATAAGAAGAAATAAATTTATAGAATCACACGCAAGGACGCCGGCATGGAGTTTGCACTCGCCAGGATCATTCTGCGATAAATGCGGTATTACGTTTACAACGCAGCACGCTCTTCTACGGCACGTTACATCGAAACACGAGGAACCGCGTACTTCGACCGCGTACTGCAATATTTGCAAGCGGTTTTTCAAAACAAAGTGGAGCCTGGCTACTCACACCAGCAAATATCATAGAAACTGAGAATTTTTTTTTCTTTCTATTTTTAAACCTCTTGTTCGATCGACGAATTCGCTTCAGTTTCAGATCGGGTCTCGCTTTTAATTGTTTTTCTTTTTTATAGAGGCTTCCAAGAATTTTTCCGTTTTTGGCACGATTTTTCATTCATAGCGCGAACGATCCTGTCGATTATCGTTTCCTCGAATCAGAGACACTTAGGGCATGTTACGGATAAATTATTATTTTATTAAATATTTATTTCAAGTCTAGATGTAACCGTTCATCAATCACATTGAGAAACAAAGACGATCGCGAGTCCTTGCAAGCACAGCGCGTATGTAACGTTGGAAAATAGCTGAATATTTTCGTGGCTGATCTTGTACCATTTCTTAATATCCACGCCCACACGTTTTTAAATCGAGGAATGTCGTTTATTATAAGCCTCCCCTTAATGCGAGTACCAAATGCAACACCGATCCACCTTGAACTTTATAATCTTGCGCCGTTTTTTCATCGCTCCTAGAAAAACAACAAAAACAATCACCTGTACACACTTTACTTTTAGGACATTTCCTTAGATCGTAAAAAATACACGTTTCAAAATAGCAAAATTGCTCGCGACTATCCGAGTATGCGGCACGATTTATGGAACTCATTGTAATTATAAGATGCATTTAATAATAAAGAGAGACTAGAAAGAATAACGTTGAAACGTCGTAATTGATGGAACAGGAACGAGGAGACCGAAACAACTATGCGAATCAGACTCAGTAAGGACTACAGAAACTCACTTTCCAGAGTATGTACCGTCGACACCGAAGAAGATGCATGCTACGAGAAGATGTAAGGTTTGCGCGTCTAAAGGACTACGAAAGGAATCACGATACTACTGTGCTTATTGTAACACAGGGTTATGTGTAACGCCTTGCTTCAAGGAATTTCATGTTACACAAGGTATCAAATAAATCGTTAAAGTAAAGCTTTCTCCGTAGGGAATAATTCTGTTGTGAAATTCCTTAAATATTTCTACTTGCAATTATACCTACATTTGCTTTCCAGAAAATATTAATCGTTGTTGTTGTGGCGGTATGCCTTCCTTCTCCTCTACCCTTTCCTTGATCCTTTCCACTTTATCCGTAGGCTCTATATCTATTTCAATCTACGAGAACAACATTGGTGATAACTATTAGACTAGCAGATTGATCTATCTTCTAAGCAGATATTTACATACCATAATGGTACAAAATAATCTGTATATAAAATTACTAATATATTATCGAAAATTAACTCTATAAGTTTTTGACAGTATATGAAACGTCAAGTTTTCTATTATTAAACGACAAACGGATCTTGTAAGAAAAGATCATTCTGTTCTTACAGCTTGGCTCATGCTCGAGGTATATATAGGAAAAAAATTGAATAGCACGCACAACATACTGAATGAATTTAATGCAAAGTACATCTTTTTGCTACTACTTGCCTCCTTTCCCGTGAGAGTCTGAAACAAGGTTAGAATATATTTTCAAGCCGAATTGTGAAAGCAGTAGCTCCGATTTCGCCGGTAATTGTCCTTACCTTCACTTTAATCAACATTTTGTAAGTGTTACAAAGTAATTGAGCGAGTCCTACAAGATTACTAATTAAAAATTGACACAAAAGTACATACAACTACACTGTTCTTTGACCACTTCGACTGCTTCGAACTTTGAATAGAAGATTCTGTTGACCGACCATGTTCATTTGAATCTACTTGCGGCACCATCTAACGCGAAGAACACGAATTACGAATTTACAACCCGAATAGTTGTTGAATTTATACATAAATTACATATTACGTATCCATAAAAAATTATTTAAACAACACTAAATAAAACGTACCGTTCGTGTTAAATACTATTGAACACTTCACAATTATTTGCTTTAAATGTAGAAAAGGCCAAACACAACCACCATTAATTAATAAAACCATTTGTATTCCTTTATGTAAACAGAATTTATTTCTTACTTTATTTTACAATTATAAATTAATAATATGCATAATATCACATGGCAATATACAATGATTTCGAAATGATATAGTCGTTGGCCACATAATTTTTTCTTACAAAGTAAGACTTGAAAGAAAGGAAACTTCACTTTTGTTACATTTTTAATTTTTCTTCTTGAGCAATAAGTTGATTCTTTATTTTCTGTAGAAGCTCCTTTTTAACAGAATCTGGTACAAGTGTTCTTGCTCTACTTGTAACTGTAGAAAGTAGCTTATCATAAGTAATCTCATGACCATGTTCTTTTATTAATTCTTTACAAATTAATTTTACTTGATCCCTCCAACCACACTCAACCAAACGTCGGCGTAATAATTCTTTTAAACTACAATGGAACAAATAATGCAGTAAGTACACATTTTTTTAAGCAGACAAATCTGTCTTTAACCATTACTTCAAAAGGTGTCACTCTTGCACCTTAATATAGAGATATTTGAATACTTCAAATTATAATATAATAGTGAAATACGTAAATATTAATAATAGTAAACGCAAAGATACTTGCCCATCACGATCGCCAACCATCACTAGCCTTTGATGTGGAGCAGTTTTCATTAGGAATTATAACTTTACTTCCTTTATCAAAAAAACTCAAATTCTCGGTTTTAGTTGCGTTAAGAACAATTGCGTAGGTCAATGAGACTATGTTTACATATACGAAAGGTTATGTTATGGTCTGCTTGTAGTTTCATAACCTAATGTTATCGTATACCACCGGTTAAACAGTGTCAATAATTGTCAACGCCACGCATTGGAAACTTGAGAGTCAACATCGACAATCAGAGATTCTTACGATATCGATGTTCAATGGTACATAAAGAAATACTGCACAAATTACAGCGATAGAATACTTAGTAAATGCTTGTGAATTGATTTTTTGGATAAACAATTACCAGTTGCGTCATTTTTAATTGTAACATACATGTTACCAGATGTTATGACTCACACGGTGAAACAGAAGCATGGCGTCATCTGACAGAAAACGCTCTAAGCTATTAGTTTATCAGCATATATTTTATCATAGACCAAACGGATTTTTGTACCTAGATCTAGGGATGAATCGATACAAGTAAATAGGAGTACATTACTCGATACTTGTGTTTCGATACCGAGTACTTTTGGTATCGATACCTGCGGTTGCGACATCAAGTAGGTATGTATCGAAAGAAAATACTCGTATGGAATGGAGTGACATTTTATTAATGTTACTTTTTACATGTTCTTGTTTTATTCGTTTTTATATCTTGCCTTACATTTGTATATTTGTAACAGATAAATTCAGAATAGATATAGTTTCATAAATAGTTACTTTTTGGCCGGTGGCTTACGATTTTCCTTGCGGGAATGCCTTACCGTAATCAGCAATCTCGTGGCCGCGGGATTCCGGGAATCGGGTGACGTCACGGAGTGCGAGAGAGAGCAGTAGAGCGAGCCGCGGTATCGGTGCTCTCCGTCGGTGTAACCCGTGCCGACGAATTTCAAGGGTCAATGGGGGGAAGTGTGCGAGCGAGAGAGTACAGTAGAGCGTGCCGAGTATCGGTGCTCTCCGTCGATCCAACGCGAGGAATTTCAAGGGTCAATGGGGGGAAGTGTGCGAGCGAGAGAGTACGGTAGAGCGTGCCGAGTATCGGTGCTCTCCGTCGATCCAACGCGCTAGTGAGTTGCGTCACCCAGTTTATTGACTTAGCCGTGTACGCCGTGTACCAAGGTCGTACCATCCCGTGCAGGTCTGTGCTTGCTT